GGTGGGCACTCACACTGTATTTTACGGTAGCCCTATCAGCAAATCCGTGTCACTATTGACTTGACAGCTCGAGCTACCGCATACTGCAACGTTGATGTAGCGATTGTGCTTCATTGTACGGTTCTGAAGGACCTGGGCCAACCGAACAAGTCCTTTTTCATATGAAAATGACAATGTAGCTGTGAGACAACGAAAATGGGAAAGCAGCTAAACGTGAACTTGAGCTGTGGCGGGGAAGACGGAATGGACGGCGGCTCCCGTGAGCTTCCGAGAAGCGGCTCACTGGTTTCACCCGTTTCCTTATAACTAGGAGCACCCCTGTTCAAACAAGCGCCTGAAAAAAAAACTCTGCCTGGCGGCAACTTCGTGGCTTCTGGCTTCGCAGGTTCGCAGTTTCGCAAAAGCTCGAGGGAGTGCACACCAGTGTAGCGGCTGCTTTTATTATACAGTACCAAAGGTCCCAGGCCAATATCCCGAGTTTTTTTTTTTTGTGAAAACAACGAGAATGCGAAAGCAGCGAAACGCGAATGCGGAAAGTATGGAATCGACGGCGGCGCCCGAGAGCTTCCGAGAAAAGACTCGCCAATTGCCTGCAGTGTGAACGTTGGTGGTCGCTTGTCGTATGTCGCTCGCGCAACTCTCGCGACTTGCAAGTGTGAATGCGCCTGAATCGATCGGAGTGTAATGTGAGCGCAAATTTTATGAGCTAAAATCGGGGGAAATATTTCGGTATTATACTCAGCTTTTACGGTAAACTGGGGTACTGCGAAGGTCACATTTTCTACCAACAGGAAAGATGTTTAAAAGCCAAGATCACCTCTGCCAACTCTCCCCTCAACCCAGTTTTTTGTCGGTCATGTGGTGGGACATAACTTTATGTGCAAGGTAATTAGGACGCCGATTACCAATCACTCGAGACTATAGATTTATTTTGGCTACATCGTGGCTGCCGATATAGATCCTTTGAATTGAGTCCTTCTTGCAACAGCACATAGTAACCGGTGGACGGGAGCTCTATGTTCGTCGTCTTCCCCAATTCTCTTGTGCCGTTTAAAGGCTTTTGACCATGCTTTCACCATAAACCTGCTTCAGCCTGTGGGCTGCTAATATTATGTGCTGTTCAATAAAGGGTATTTTTGACAAGTCACTCAGCACTACATTGCTTGCTCACAGCAGCTAGATGTCTACTTAGACGAAGCTCCTTTTCCGTACAGGGAGATTATATTACGGTTCTAGAGGTTTGTTTTTTGTTCTTCTCTGACCAATATCTGAGGGGGTTTCGGGGAGTTTAATTTTTACTGAAAATTTGAAGCGTTCCTTCATCGTACACAAAATTCTGTTTTTTCTTTTCGTGTTTAGCGGCATTGGCCTAAGTAAAAAATATAGCACTCTGCAAGTTTAGTAAAGGAGTCTTTTCATAGACAATGGAATGAGAGGTGAGCCTTTCACAATATAAAATGACCTGTTTAAATTAGCGTACAGTTAAATAACTCGTTTGTCTTGAGAAGAGCCCTCTTCAGATGGATGTGCCGAATGAAATTCCGATACTCAGCAATGTGAAGCGCATCCTTTCCATTAGCCGTGCTAACTTGTACGCAGCAAAACGTTCAGACTAGTGTCATCCTTGAACAATTAAATTTCTTTGACGCTCATTAACATGGTTTCCTACGTAGACTTTCCACCATGATGCAACCGACAGAAACAGTACATGACATCGCGGAATCTCTAGACAGGCAGGGGCAAGTCGATGTAGTATTTATGGATTTTTCTAAAGCCTTTAACTGTGTGGCGCATCCCAGACTTCTGCAAAAGATTGGGATAATTCTACATAATAGCAACATAACCAAATGGATTGAATCATATCTTGTAAACTGCAGCCAAAGTGTATTCGTAAGAGGTGTTTACTCTGATAACGTACCCATTGTCTTGGGTGTCCCTCAGGGGTCTGTCCTGGGGCCCCTCTTATTTCTTATTTTTATAAACGATTTGAGCAGTCATGTAAAAACGTTGATAAGAATGTTCGCGGATGACTGTATTTTGTACCACGAAATAAAAAGACTAGAGGACCAGCTTTATCTCAGTAAATCCCTGCTGGATTTTTCGAACTGGTACTCTGCCTATCAAATGCCACTCCCCCCCCCCCCCCCCCCCCCCCAAAAAAAAAAAAAAAATTTCTGCAAACAAAAGTTGATTTTCAAAAATGCCATATTTACATTCACCAACATCTAGAGAGCATTCCCAAAAAGTTTCATTAGTTCACACTGTATAATTAATTATTCATAAATTATTTTCGACCCACGAATGCTAAAGAAAAGGTAGAGGTTGAAGCATTTTGGACACATTTCTCTACGTTCCACTTTTTGGCATAAATTTCACTTTAGGAAAACTATTGTTTTCCTATTACACAGTCGAGAATTATTCTTAGGTGGTTTTCTGGGATAGAATTTTGTGAGGAACATGCCTGGCTGGTTGGTTTTTGTGCTTTAACATTCTTTTATGCTAAAAAAAACTCGAACAACTACATTTGTAAAAAGGCACGGACATCAAATTTTTAAAAAAAATCTTATGGAGTTATACTTATGAAAAACAATACATTATAGCAAAATAACTAGCTGTGTATGTACTATGGATATTCCTATGACTATTACACATAAAAATCACAAGTTTTTATTTTATTTTAAAACAATAGTTTTCCTAAGCAAACACACTGACTTCCATATTGTAACATTCATAACAAGTTTCAGAATTGACATAGGAGAATGAAATTTGGCAGGGATGGTCTTGCCACTCATATAAACTTCCACTGCAAATTTGATGAAATCAAGCAAGCTGTAGAGAAGTTGACTTCTCTGGGTAGTGTCCCCCCTTAAAGGGGGGGTGCAATGATTTCCGGACTTCGGTCAAACATTTGTGGGAGTTGCCTTCTGACCCTTCCGAAGTAAAGGTCAGAAAACAGATTTCGCCTGTGTGTCCTGGTTGTGTAAAAAAGAGATAAATATTGCCATTTCGGGCACCCCTCAACTCACTCCCAGTCTTCGGGGCCACACCTGGTCGCACTCCTAGTGACGTAATTCGGGGTGCTATGTAGCTTCCCGTGTGCTGTCTCGGAGGACGCTTCCTCTCCCTCTCTCTGCTGACATTAGCGGGCGTTATGCTGCAGCTTAGAGCTGAGACAGGTCACGTAATCTTTTCGCCGTAGTTCCTTCGGCTGCCACTTGTGGCTGCAGGTGGGGGAAATAGCTCGACTTTTGCTTTGAGGTTATGCAGCGGAATCGCAACATTTTTGAATGAAGGAGATGTTTTCTCTATCCTCCGGGACACGATAAACAACATAAAAATGACGATGCAAATTCTTTTCATCTTAAAATCGTTGCACCCCCCCCTTTAACCTGAGCATATGTGTTAGTATGACTTTTATTCGAAAAAAGCGTCCGTTTACTTTTTTCTGCACTGTAAACAACCATCCTCTCCCAAGCATGTCCAACTTTAAATACCTTTCTGTAACTATTTCCACAGATCTATGATGGAATATTCATGTAGATACAGTTGTATGCAAAGCCCAAGGCAAGCTCTGGTTCCTAAAACAAAACCTAAAGCATTGTACCAGCTTAACTAAACTGATTGTATACAAGCCATTGATTCACCCAGTGCTTGAGTATGCATCAGCTGTTTGGGACCCTCCTACACAAGCAAATGTAAACATACTGGAAATGGTTCAACAGAAAGCCCTTTGTTTCATATAATAAATACAGCGCCCTAGATTCTCTGACCCCCTCTACATGCAAGCCAAGTCAGTCGCACTTAAGGAACAGCACTAGTTCCACACTCGGATGGTTTATCTGTTTTTGCTATTAAACAATGTTTTTAATATTGATATAGTTAAATACTTAAAACCAAAATTAACCCGCGCAGTTAGAGGTGTCCACAGTAGGTCGTTGATGCCCTTCTGTCGTACAAAATGATTCAAACAATCCTTTTTTTCGATTTCAGTTGAGAATTAGGACAAGCTTCTGCTAGAGGTCCCGAAATGTGATAGCGTAGATCTGTTTTTAAATGCTTTACGGAACACTATTGAGAACTTTTACGTACTATACTTTGGTCTTGTTATAACCGCCACTGATTTCATTTATCGCAGTATTTACCCAACTATGTGTGCTTTGTCTTGGAATGTTATCTCTCTATTTTTTTTCCCAAACTGTACATTGCTGTTTTATTTGCATTCTGTACAATCGACTTGAAAGGTGTTTATGTTTTCACCTGTTTATGCAACACCCACACCTGCTACAGCTCTCAAATGTGAGCCAGCAGTATGTATGAATAAAAAAAAGTAAAATCACACAGCCAGTTGTATAAAAATGTGTATTATCTGGCTTAATTATCGGGGCGCTTTTGCTTTTTGCCTCTCACGTAGGGTAGAGGTGCTAAAAAGTCTGACTGCATCTCTCAAACCCGTTATCAACATGACTGATGAGTTCATCTCCAACAAAAAGACGCCAGAGAAAGACGAATCAACGTCTAGGAAAGAGATGTGTCCAGGAGGAAGGCTCTTAGAAGGGAAGGTGACACATGTCTAACTAGTATTATAGAAGGGTTATCTCCTTTTTTCCAATAAGAAGTCCAAAAGACATTCTTTGTTACCCTTGCCAACAAGTGAAACAAAAAAAAAAAAAAGGTGTGGAAAAGTGGTTTTAGGGTTTCAGAAGTTAGTCTGGTTGGGTTTTTACAACTGGCAGTGCCCAAATTCTAACATTTTTTAAAGTATAAATTGGAGTTTGCAGTATTTTTACCGATGAGTGCTTTTCTAATTTTATTGGATTTATCCGAAAACGCAGAACCCTAGTCTTATTAATATTCTAAGAATTGTCATGGGTCTCTTATACTCATATATTGCCATACAGACCCAGTTGTGGAACTTTTGGATCCTACCTCGTAGTACCAGTGGCTAGTCGAGATTGAATTGCACGAACACTAACCAATTTCATTGACACGATCCTTTCCAGTTTACCAAGTGTATCTCTGAAGAAGACAGCATGGATCTGCACTACAAGTTTCAAGCAGAGAAGATGCAGTGATATCTATGTACTCAAGATTGACTCAAGAGCATCCACTGAAAAGATGCAGCGCAAGTGATATACTCCTTTTTTGCGACGCGAGTGAAAACAATAAAACTGCACTTTGATGCACGTTCATGGTTGTTCAACTGTAAAATTGAACTAGACCTAGAAATAGTTGAAAATGACAAAATTGACGTTTTCAAGGGGATTGGATTGGGTTAATAATTTAGCTTGTAGGTAATCCATGACAGCAAATTCAAGGCAAATGACGAGGACAAGGGGACACAAACATGGTGCTACTTAGCTGAAGCTTTATTCGTGTTGGCATCTGGCATAAATACTACCAGCAAAACAAGCCAGGAAAAAAACAACTGAAACTCGGGTACAGGTTACATGCCATCTACAGCATTGTCGCTCGTCTGAGAAAACCCAGTTCCACATCCGACGACAGTCGGGGTTCGCTAACACACTGGCCCTAATCTTCCAATTTCACGTGCCTCTAAAATCCCTCGAGCAATTCTGTATTTAACGGTTTTAACATTGAAAGAATTTGCAGTTTTAAATTTTTGCATTGTTTATCTTACCAAAAGGGGTGGAGAAACTGCCTCATTATTTTGGAATATTGCGATTCCGTTGCGTAATAGCACAGCAAAGAACGGGAATATTTCGCGATTTGCAGCCTGGGGGTGGCGGCCACGGGAACTAAGTCACGACGCACTCCTGGGTGCAATTTATTTATTTATTTCAATACCCTCGGGGCCAACAGCATTACAAAGAAAAGTGGGTTATAGTCAACAACCAAAAAAAAAATACATATACAATGAATAACTTAAAGGTTAGTTGTGAACAATAGAAATTAGTAACAGCAGTTTCAAACAAATCATCTGCCTGGATTATGGCGATGGAGGTGAGAAAGCAGTTCCAATCCAGAGAAGTTTTGGGAATGAAAAATTGTTGAAATGTGTTTGTGCTACATAGTGGTACACCTACTTAATGATGGTGATCAAGACGGGATGAACCATAGAAAGGTGGTGTAAGGAGACGTTGACTGAGGAATGAGTTAGTGCGAAATATTTTATGGGCGAGACACAAACGGGCTACCTTTCGGCGTGAGGCAAGACTAGGCAAAGATAAGTTGACTTCATAGAGGTGACACTTGCAGTGCGGTGATAATTACTAAGGCGAAAACGAGCGGTACGATTTTGAACAGCTTCTAGGGGGCTAACCAAATTTAAAAGTTTGAGTCCCAGATAGACAACATATATTCAAGATTCGACCGTACAAGTGTTTTGAGTTAATTTCGAAGGGGAGGGAGCTAAAAAAAAAAGTTTTAAATAGCCGAGCATACGATTAGCATTACTAATAATATATCCAATATGTATTTTCCAGGAAAGATCAGGTGTTATGTGTACGCCCAGGTACTTGTAAGACGGCACAGAAAGTAAGGGAACATTGTTAAGACAGTAGCAAGGAGAAACTGAATGATTACGAGACGCCCTCATTGCTTTGTACTTAGTTGTGTTAAGCTCCATATGCCAGGTTTCACACCGATGAAGAATAATGTTAATGTCTGTGGAGCTTGATAACATCTTAATCATCTTTAATTTCATTGTGAACGACACAATCATCTGTAAAAAGGTTGATTGAGGAAGAAATGTTATTCGGCAGGTCATTAATAAGGATTAAAAACAAAAGTGGGCCTAGCAAACAAGTTTGCAAGACATACCATTATGTGCTCAATCTAATGCTATATTTTATAAACGGTGTCATTTCAACACGAGTACATGCATCAAAAACCTGATATCATCGACGAAGTTGTACTATATTCAGTTTCAGTGGTGCTATCTGACAGAAATTTTAAAAAAAACTATTCGTTCCTTGAGCGTCACACAGTTAGTACTACGTCAGTTGAACTTCCTTACGGAAAGGCAAGCTCTCCGTTCCCTCTCCCTCTCCACATCGCTCAGACCAACTTTCAAGGTCGCCATGTGTATCGCAAGCAGAGGCCACGTGCGCTGGAGGCTTTGAAAGAGAACCCAACCGGTTTCTCCTATCCCCAGGAGTCTGTCACTGTACACATGACCCGGAAGATGGTGTAAGAGTTGAGAGCGCATACGCAAAATTGGTTTTCAGTTCTTTAATCCAGACGTAACGGGGAACAACTACCACAGTTATTTGACCCAAGTCTAAACATTGTCGCCCATTTAAGCACTCCACAATCTTCGAACGTAAGTTTGCAATTTCAGTTGCGTCAAGCGCTGAATTCTGTCATGGATTGAATAGCACTCAATATGATGGCTTCTGGTAGGGTGAAGCGCAGACGTGCCACATGGACCCCTTTTTAACTCGTAAACTCTTGTGAGCCAACGGTACAAGTAACGATTACTAGTAATCTGGACATCTATAGGGCGAGCGAGTGTGCCAAAATGCATCTTCGGTGCATCGGAATGCGAGGAGCACGCTAATCAAAAGGCAACGTAAAGAACACGCAGGGAACATCTGATGATGGGGCAGCCAAGCGTGCTTCATCGTTGGTTGACTTTGGGGGGAAACAAAAGCAGGTGGGCGTATTTGGGGGGTAAACAAATGCCTGAGGTGCGCAAGGAGCTAACAAACTGGCACACCATATACAATCTTGACGTTGATTTCGAAAAAGGAAAATTCTCCGTTTCATATTTTTTTATCCTAAAAAATAAATTGTGTGTTTTATGCTCATATCATTAACAAGTTGTGCTGTGGAGAAAGTGAGAAGCAGGGCGTCGAACCGGAACCGAACCATTATTTTTAGCTGAACTAAAACTAAACCAAAAAAAAATATAATGGTTAGTGGTTCAGTCTTTTTTTTTTTTTTTTTTGTTAGTATCGCAAAATTAATATTTGGGAATAAAACATTGGCAGCTGTATTTCTATGTATCGATCAAATCGTCATGTACAGAATTACAATGTATGAAAAATTGCGGATTTTCGTGGCACTATGATTAACCATGTGTCACGTGACGTCATGGTGTCAAAACATGCTGTCAAGTAATGTCACGTTACATGACTTACTGCGTCAAGTCGATTTAATTTGAGAAATTCACTAGATTTATTAACCTTGTTGACACCGTGACTTTAACATGACATCACGACTTCCCACCGCGAGTCACGTGACACCATACTCTACTGTCATGAGCCCCGAGTCGAATGCTCGGGTTCATGACGATCAGCATCGCCAAACATTCGGGTAACGGCTTGTGTTCAATTAAAGATGATGATAGCCAAACTCTAACAATATACTCTATGCTTTGCCAACCCCAGCTCATGACTATGATGAACACTGACGGTATATAATTAGCGTCAGATCATGTGACCGCTTGTTCTCATTGCGAATTGAGGTGGGAAAAGCTGTTTCTTTACTTTATTTTTTTCTGCGTCTGTCATTGCATGGAGGGCAAATCTAATGGATATTTTTGCAAGCTATCAACGTTGGGGATTAGTTCTTAGCGGTATTTACTGACAGTACAAAAAATGTTGCACGACCCATTTGACATTTTTGAGGCACCCAAATATGGTTTTGTTGTTGCTGAACTGGCCTCAAAAAGTTGTCCCCAAGAATAGAAGTATTTAAAGGACTAATTGTGACCTATTAATCCGACGTTGCATAGAACTACAATCAAGGAAGGGATACCTGAAAAGAAAGATCCTAGTGGCCTCAGAGAACAGTTGAACGTTGGCAACCGGTCGGAAGTCTCACAAGAGCATTGCTCGCAAGTTCTTTCCCAAGTTTCAACCATCTCTGCATTTTGTTTAGACTTCACAGTTAGAATAAAAACAATGGAGGGTTACTGTTAACAAGTAACCAATATAAATGTCGAATTGACACCATAAAATGGAGGATGCAGTCCCTCAGGAATAGAAAGTATTGTCTGGAGGAGAAACAAAGAAATAAAAAAAGGGGCGGGAAGGGGGGGAGGAGTTTTAGTTTTAAAAACATACTGTGTTGTAAAGGTTCCTCTGCCCCGCGTATTCGGCGCAGACCAGAAAGCGTGGCTCCGGAAACTACTTTGTTGGCAAAAAAACTGTTGCCGGAAAGCGCGTTTCTGTTGTGCCCGATGCTTGTGCCGTTCCTTACAACGATGCTCTAAGAAGAATCATTTGTGCCTTTGAAACACTTAGCTTGCACTGAGCGCAAACCTTCTGCAGCGTACATTTTGCACCACCAGATATGATTTTTTTAGCAGGAACAAATTGAAATGACCACCAGCAATATATTATGATGACATCATGTGCAAACCATGTTAAAAAGTTCAGCTTTCTGGTGAAATGCAGTGTTCGCAACACTAGCAATAGGTGTCCGAATTGTAAAATTGTGCAGTACTTATAGCAGTCTTGCGATCATATATGGCAGCCTAATGAAATGTTAGAGAGCATGACTGATAAAGCACGGAGTTGTAAATTTAGGGCCCAAAACAAGTGCACGTAAAACCAAATATAGCATTAGCCTACCGAGGCAGTATTTCACGAAGTTTGGAGCTCATGCAAGCTGATGAAACGTGATTTATATTGAAATTTAAAAAAATCTTTGTCTGTCCTTCGTGCTATTTATGTGTAATTAGGAATGTCATTGCATGCATCTTTATGCATTTCTTTTTGCAGTAAGGCATTGTGTAAGGGATTATTTAAACGAAATGCCATTTATTATCTCTCTTTCTGCACATTTCGTGTATTTGCCTTCAGATCTATCATGTGAGCACAAAGTCCTTTAGACATACCCTGCAACCCGGTGTTTCACGCTGCCAAACAGTGAACAAAAACATGTTTCCGTGGACTAAACAGCGGGAGTATTTTCGAGTATCGTCCTCCTGTGTCCGCCTCAAGCGGTTACGTGAACTTCATAAAAATATTTTTAATTACTGACTTAAGATTTGACAACATAAACAAAGGCCAATCATCTTAAAGATATACATCATAAGTAAATGCACCTCCAAATTATCTGAAAGGTGCTCTGCAAATCTTTTCCGACGTTTTTATCCTCGATAGGCACGTCGTGATTTGGAAGAGCCTTACACAAATTTGATTTTGAAGCTGCTTTAAATAACTATGTGTTCCTGAGACATATAACTTCTTTAACATATATAAGTTTGTTATTGCCTCTTTTATGTGGTGAACATAACTTTTATGTGTCTGTGGGGTGGACAAAAAAAAAAGTCCGAGGACACCTGTAAACTCTTCTTACAAGTTGTGAATGTGAAAGCATAAATGTCGTTCTTCCGCTCCCTCAGTTCGTCTGCGGCGTGATTGCGTGGACGGCCACGTTTCGCAACTGTCGAGGTAGCGGCCGACAGCCGAGCGCGCGATCTCGTGAAGCGGCCGCACTGCACCGAGCTCGGCCGTGCAACCTCTCCGGAGTTGGCCTGAGTGGGCTGTGTGGCCAGGCGCTCCCTCTTACCGGCGGCCGGGCCGCTGCGTGTGCTGCACCGCCATAAAGAGGGCTTCTCTGGTGGCGTATTTTAGAACTATGCCGCGCAAGAGCCAATGGGAGCCTCGTTCCTTGATGATGCACGCCAGCCAATGGGAGCCTGTCCATCAGATCGCGGCTTCACTTCACTCCATTGGGACGTGGGAGTTTAGGTGCCGTCGGTGCCGTTTGGTGCGGCTTCAAAGCTGATGATGTCGGTCCACTCCATGGGACAGTTAATGCTTTCGCATTAACAAAGCACACAGGCGTGCGTAGCGGAACTACGACGATTACTCACAAAAACCGTCAGGAAGTGTCCAATTAAGTAGCTGCCATGTCGAGTAGATCATTAAATACTTTGTTTCATTTAAACGAAATCATCAGTTAGCAAGGGTGATGCTTATTTGCAAATTGAATTGACTGGCCTCTTGTCAAGAAGAAATGTCAAAAGCCAGACTATGCCAGTCTGTCCTGCACAAGAAAATGTTCACTTGGGCAAGCACTATTTTAGACCAGATTCAATCTGAGTACGAAGGGGCTTATAGATTAGCGTGAACAATTTTGATTACTCCTTTCTGCATGATTCGTCACCTGCATCACGCTGCTGGGTGGAAACGTTTGGTTTGAAAAACAAGCATTGTGATTACTGCTCAGTGTTTCTATAAAAGATAGACTGAAAGGGCTTGTCCTAAAACATTTGTGGCATTTTGAAAATTTTATTGCTTTTTGCTCAGTTGTGCTGTCATCATATATACAGTAGCGAACAAAAATATATGCTGTTTCGGTTTTACGTGGGCTAACTTTTCTTCGAACTGTGATACAGATATAAAGATTGGAACGGAACACTACATTAACATATTTATAGAGTAGAAACTGATGCTTAATTAAATATAAATCAATCAACTAGACGTCGAGCAATACTTCTGATAAAGGATCGAAATATCATATATTTTTGTTCACTACTATATATTGTGAAATATATTTCGTAAACCATAGTTCATGATATGTATGGCGACGAGGTGCCCATTTCATGATTTTATGCACTGTAATTCCTTAGTTCAAGGGCACAACCACGATTCAACTTTCAATACTGCGACGCAAGGTTGTACCTATTACGGGCATTTTATGCGACCTACCACACGTTGCGACAAAATTTGATACTTGTAAATAGATTAGCTTGAACTTTAGAACAATACTTGAACACTAAGAAAGGACAGTATAGTTGTAAAGTTCAAGCTGATCTATTTACAAGTATGCACTACCAACAAACTCAACATTTTACTGTTATTTAAACATCTTGATTCAGGTAAGATATATGAGACTCCGGGAAGCAGAGGGATGTTGAGTTGTATAATCACTACATTTTGTATTTTAATGTAAAATTTCTTTTGCTGTTGCATTGAAATTAAATAACGGAATTTCATATTTTTGGTACCTGAAAGTAAGTGGCTGTACGGACAATGGAAAAAACGATATAGTGTTTCAAACCGGTTTGAACCGTTATTTTTGCTCCCCGGAGCTGAACTAAAAGCCGTGAACCCGAACCTAACCCCAAAAAATTTCGGCTCGACACTCTGGCGAGAAGCAATATAGTGTGAAAGTTTATCTGCTCCTCTCATGTTTGTCCCTTCCCCCAACCTAGCTCAACCAATGACGATGCGCGCTTGGCTGCCTCGTCATGGCGCGTTCCCTACAGCTTCTGTATGTTGCGTTTTGATTGGCATGCTCCTAGCATTCCGATACACCAGACGAATTTTGGAACAGTTGCGTATAGGTTACAGACATTAGCTGCCAAAGGAATATCAGATGCAGAAAGACAAAAGAAAAGGAAGTGTTAGTGCTTGCTATTTTGTTTGCTGCTGGCAGTTATTCTCAAACTTGGCCTTTTTCATATTGAATGTGCTGATTTGACATAAGACAGCTAAAATGCCATTTATGTGCTGAAATAAATTACAAACAGATTTGTTTTTACCTTGCTTGAACAGTGATTTTCCTACACACTGCCTAGGGGGGGGGGGGTGTAAACCCCCCCCCCCCCCCCCCCTAATTTCAATTCCTGGGGAAACCCCTGCCTGAACAAAAGATCCAGTTTGGTATTCAAAATTATTCTGTCCTAACATAATTTCAGTGGAACACTATTTGGGTCACCTTTGAATCCATACATAAATTAACATTGAGAGACATTGATATATACTTTAATCAGGATGCGAGCTTCTACGACTTTCTAAAGAAAAAAATAAAGTGCTCGTGCAACAGCATTTTTCATCATTCTGTTGTGCCAACTGTCTGCTGTGCAATGAATGCTAACGAGTGGTTGTACAGGACTGGGAAAGCAAAGGAGGCATTCTTTTGGCTGGACCAGCCACCATAATCTTCTGTTGAAACATTACTGGACATCATCTTGGAACAATCGTACCTCCAGTATCAGCCTTGAAGAAGCAAATCTTACCTTTTATATATTAGTATGATGGCATGCAACGACACAACCTACAAGCCTCCACAGTAAGATGCAGATGCAGATATTGCTTTTCTAGGAACTTAGCTGCTGTTGAACCAGAGCAAACTACACACTGGCAGGCCTGTGCAACTGTTAGCAAAACCACATTAGCAGTTTTAATGAGGGCCTTTTGATTCTAAGAAACCAGCAACTGTTTGTTCACACTAACAGTGTCATGCCGTGTGCAGAGCACAACACAGCATGAGCTCATTCCGGTCACTTACGTGGTAAAGTTTGGTGTTCGCCAATACCATCTCCGAGCAAAATCTGAAACAGCGCAAATATACTGCTCCCGTTGTGTCGCGGTGTACGTAAGAAGATCAAATTTCAGAAATATCTTGTTTCTTCATTGTGTTTATTAGACTTCCTATCGCAGTTGAAGTGCGAGTACACACTCTGACAAAATGGTGACAAATGTGACAGACTAAAATAGACCCAACAAAACAACCTGGCATGAAGAGCATGACGATTCTCGTGACGCACCATATGACAGGAGGTAGCTATGGCAATGTACAAAAATATTGTTGACAACACGCATGCTCTTAACCAAAGAATGGTAGATTTGGCACAAGGTGCTTGCGGCTGCTTCCGATGCCTCGATGAGTACAGTGTGCCACTGAACAGAACAAACGTCGGCTGTAGCCCACTGTCGTCAAAAATGTGCAAGCCAGAAGCTATGCCCAAGAAAATGCCTCAATGCTAGGACTATACAAAAAATACAGCGACTGTTAAGTAGAAGTCCATGCTCATTTCGGGTATGTTGTCCGGGCTCTGGGAGGCCTTCCCATCATCAGCAGCGTTCATCACAAAGCTGTGAAGTCAAAAAACACTGCATGTGGTGCTCAGAATCGGAAATGTGAACAATAGTTCGCCGAAACTTCTTGCTTACACCTGTCGCCCCGAATTTGCTGCCACAGAACTGTACACAGCGCACATTCACTTCGAAACAAGCATTCATCCTAAAGAAGAGAGGGATGTGCACAAACTTGAAATTGAGCATTGTAGGGGTTAAATATGACAAAAACACCGGACCACAGAATTTGCAGAATCTGTTGTTCAAAGAGCACAGCGTGCAAACAACACGAATGGCATGACTTATATGGGACACATAGTGTAGAGTCAGTTCCTTGATAAGACACATTTAGATAAAGAACACAGTTACCGTGATTACAACCAACTCTATTGCTCCTCGTACAAGTGACCGCACATTACCAATGTTGTGTTGACAATCTCTACTGCAATATTAGGGAACATCCCCCCCCACCACCCTAAGAAATTCCCCAGCTTTTTAATAAAATTCCCCAAATTCAAAAAAAAAAAATTTGTAATTAGGGTTTTGTGTTTTCGGTATATACAGATACACAGTGAAATTAACCCCCAAAGCGGCTTTCTCTGAATCAATGAAAACCAAAAAAGCCAAAATATGAGCTGTCCTTAAAAAAAAAAAAAAAACTTTCTTCCCACTTTTTTTTTCTCATTGACCCGGAACACAGTCACTGAACTGTCCTTTGGGTTTTTCCTCTCTATCGAAACCACATTTCCCTTACTCTGTTCCTCTCTCTTATCTTTATCAGCATGATGGTTTCCAATTATTTAGGCTAAGCACAAGTTTCCTGAAGCATAGGAAAAAAAAAAAAAAAAAAAAGACAGTGGAGCGACATTGGGGGCAATAAAAGCAGTCCAAACGAGCATGCAAAACGTCGCCCGGAATAATGCGGAGAACGAAACCCGTTTCTTTGAAACTTTTTATAACTTCCGCAGGTTGGGAAGAGTGAATGCACGTGGAACCGTCTGCACCAGAGACAGCCAGATTCATTAATTTAACATTCATAAATTGTGTAAAGTGTCTGGTACTTATTCAATAAATGTCAGGTGAACTATAAATTATAATATTTGCTCCAGTAATTATACAGTCACTTTACAACACAAGCCTGACAAACACAGATTTATCTCCAGAAGCGAAATTACATGCTGAAAAACACCGATTCAAAGGGAAAAAACAAATTCCGATAAATAACCCCCTAATCTGAAGAAAAATAAATACCGAAAACACGGAACCGTAATCATAATGTAAAGCTATAAAAGTTTCGAGCAACATTGCGTTGTAGGTCAGGGGCTCCACCTCTGGGCCAAACTACCAGGTACCACTTTTAGGTCTTCAGGGCACATGACAAGCAAAATTTTTTCACACCTTCCTACTGACACGGTTCTGCAAAAATGTGCTCGCCTATCTTAGACAAGTCCCAAAACTCGCACAATTCTACATTGATGGGCACTCTAAATTATCCCAAAATACTTCAGATTGAACCATACAATGCATGACTCCATTACTATAGAACATGAGTGTAAAAATGATTTAAAAAAGGTCACCCAATTTTGGAACTCAAAAACGAAGAAATACTTCTTGCATTGGTGCCTCATGGATCGTGGATGCAGCGCAAGCAGTTTGTCTTTGCTCAAGCAGAGTGCAGCAGCAAATTTCTCACAGTTTTCAAACATAAGGAATGCACAACTTGGAAGCTAGCAGCGCTGCCTGAAAGTTGGGCTTTCTCTATAAGTGTTGCCGCTGTCGGCAAGCAGTGCATCCGAAGGAGACTTTTTGAGACAAGTGGCAGAAAAGCTGTACCGGATGCGACACAGCACGCATGCATGTTGCCTTCCTGCTCTGCTTTCTCGGGAGGCACTTTTTACAAAAGTGTATTATAACACATACACTATGCATTGCAAAAATTAAAAAAAAGAAAAAAAAAGCCGTTTTTAATGTTTTTTTCTTTTTAGTAGCAGAGATTTATGCAGAAAAAGTGGTTATGCTAAAAAGAGAATAAAGGAAATCAAACTTTAAAAAAGAATCTATTTGTTCTCTCTACTTCCTTAATTTCCCCCATAGTATGCGCCCAGCATTCAGTACAAAGGCAAGCAAGGTCCTCAAACTCTGTCCCTTCCCAAAGCTCATTTTAGTTGATAGATTTGACCTTTTTAATGTCCCTTAAGGATTGTCCTTAAAGCTCCGACATTTATCCATTTCTTTTTATTTGTGTTATGCAAACACTCTGCACGACTGTGCTTGGACCATTGCACTTAGTTGGGGTGCTATCATGCTGCATCACAAAATAGACCGATCTCACTAAGCATTCGGCGCATGCGTGACACCGCCATAACTTTAGTTCACAGGAGGCAGACGGCCGTGCACACGAGGGCTCGTGCCTTCTCGTGCTCCACACGCGCAGAGCTCCAGCGAGGTTGTCGCACGTGCAGAAAGACTAAAGTTCCCACGATGCATTGCGGCAGCGGTGGCGTAGTCATACTGGCTGGTGAGATCGGTCTATTCTCTAGATTACCCGCCAATGCCATTTAACCCTTTGACGGTCGTCGCGGTACATGTACGGTGGCGATTACACATTTGAAATTGCCCGCCTAAATGCAAGCGAAACTGCACACACTGCGGGAGGTGTTGCCATTTGCTACGTCTTTAGTGAATTATAAACATTATATCGAAGATTGTTTCGCATTGCTGGGCAATTTATAGTTTTCAAATTAGTTGCTCCGTGCACGTGATGCCCACTTAGCGTACCGACCGCTCTGGCGGTAGTGCTATTGGAAGCACTGGCTCTTCCGATTCAGACTTTAACGCTTTTCAGAATTTAGAGGATGATAACTCGTCATCTGATCGAGAAGTTGTATAAAGTATCTCTGGCTAGGAATCTGAAGCCGCTGGAATGTCGCGGAAGCGAATGCGTGAAATTGAACGAAAGAAAGGGGACAACTTTTTGCCTTCAATATTTTCATCTGATACTTCTAAACCTAAACAGCTTGTAAGCACCGTACATACTCCCGTCAGATAATTAAGAAAAGACCTGCACACTGATGCTTTCTTTATATTATGCCTTTGCAAACAAAACTGGACCACTGTAAAATATCTCTTTGGGGGAAAAAGCTTGACCGTCAAAGGGTTAAACCCTTAGGTTCATTAAGGAATCTCCAAAGGGGGTGTGTTCACAAGGTATGAAGTACAGAGGAGTTGGCACCAAGCAATATAAACTGTGGAGTACTACATGTTTTTCTGTACCTTTCCCGGTTTTGCCGTTTTCTTTCTCACTCGCACATGGTCTCTTTATCGTACGCGGAACATTTTACCGCCATGGCAGGGTGCTGCGGAGTTGCCGACTGATCGTGGGGGCTTCTCCTTTCCATCCCGTGACGCGGCTCCACTTGATCCTTTGTTGTTGGCATAGATGAGGTGTGTCGACTCCTCCGATCTAACCTCTTTGCATATTCAGGATGGATTACATAGCCACACACTGCCCAGCCATCAATGAAGGGGGGAAAAAAAAGCTTGAGCAAATTTCTGTACTATATCTTACTGGGCTACACAAAGGTGATTGTTTAGGGATAGAAAGTAATCTCGTGCCAAGCATTCTCTCGCAGATGCAGCCGGCTAAACTTGACTATGTACAGTTGTCTCGCATACATGAAGGCGCCTTGCATCAACTGCAGCAGAACAGACATGGTGCGTGCATCGTAGACACACTGACTGGCGAGCCCACTACACTAGGGGGGAGCACAATCTGCACCTGCTGCTCCTGCGCCTTCGGAGCATCGGCAGAGCAGACGGCGGCCAGAGTGCAGGCGAGCGTTGGAACTCGCGCAGGCCCAGTGTCCCACTGTCCGGCTAGTACGGGAAAATAGAGTGGCTAGGAAGGCGCGTGGGCCCCGCAAGGTGGGCTCTGCAAAGTCAGTGCCGGGGCCAGTCAGGCTTGAAGCCGGGGCCGAAACTCTGGCTGGCCAGCGGCGGGGGCGGCTTGCTGGAGTCGCTGGTAGAGGCCTGCGAGCTGTGGAGGTGAGCCTCCGGCAAGGAGGAGGAGCCCATCCGCCTGGGGCTGCTGGCCACTGGAACGGGAGGGGCATTTGTGTCTGTGCAAGTCCCGGGGCTCGAGGAAGCGCCGGCCGCACTGGGCGCACGCGAAGGGCCGCTCGCCCGCGTGGGCCCGCAGGTGCCGTGCCAGCTTCTCCCGCCGGCCGTAGCTCTTGCCGCAGGCTAGGCAAACGTGGGGGCGCTCACCTGTGTGCACCCGCCGGTGGCGCGACAGCTTGTCCTTGCGGTAGAAGCCCCGGCCGCAGAAGTCGCACGGGAAGGGCCGCTCCCCCGTGTGGATCATGGCGTGCCGCGTCAGGTGGTTCTTCTGCGAGAAGCTCTTGCCGCACACCTCGCACCGGTACGGCTTGTCGCCCGTGTGCGTCCGCATGTGGTCCAGCAGCTTGCAGCGGTAGCTGAAGCCGCTGCCGCAGATATCGCACGCACACGCCTTCTCGCCGTGCGAGGCTCGCACGTGCGCTCGCACCCGCTCGGCCGAGGCAAACAGCTTGCCGCACACCTCGCAGGGCACCGCCCCAGCTGCCCGCTCTGACCGCGCGTGCTGCCCCAGGTGCTGCTGCAGCTCAGAGGCTGCCTTGAAGGGCACTTTGCACGACGGGCACGGCCACAGTTTCTCGCCCTTGGGGGCCCCCTCAGGCGGCTCGGGCTTCGGCTTGGCCGGCTCAATGCCCGGGAAGGCCACGGGCGCCGAGCTCAGGCTGCGCCCAAAGTCGCTTGGCGGGATCTGCGGTATCTTGAGTGTAGTCAAGGAGCCCCGGGGCACCGGCTTATGCGAGTGGGCTGCCTTCAGGCCGGGCTGCTGGTCCTCGGACTGCACCGACTGCTGGCCGCCGGGCACCGTGCTGGCGTGGAAATTAGCCAGGTGCTGCCGGGGGTCGAATCCTGCATGCAAGCACCCCATTCACCCGGGGTCTGCGCCCCCACTAGCCCCGCAGCCAAGCCCATACTGCCAGCCATTCATGCCCAACAATGCTTGCCACACACACACATGCAAAGGAGGGTCTAATGCCCGTGTCCCACTACAGCGACAGACAGAAACAAACGACAGTGACAAGCCTCAAACCAGAATCTTTTGCGATTTGAGAGGCTTTGTAGAATAAAAGATGCTACGCTCAAACACGAGCATCTTGCACGCGAGGGTATCTTTGGCAGGCTTGCGATCGCTCGTGCTTACTTCACAAGCACCGAACGACTAAACGCCTGCCAAAGATACCATCGCGAGCATGCTGCATGGGTTTTAGGCTTGTCGCTGTCTTTTGTTTCTGTCTGTCGCTCTAGTGAGACACGGGCATTAGGGGCAGGAAAATGTGGCCAGGAAGGACTCATTAACATTTGGGTTTACAATGCTGTACATTATAGACATTTCCACACTCCTTATTCTGTTCTCTATGGGGCCTGCTGCAAGCTTTCGTGAATGCAGCACTGGCAAGCTGATTGTTGCAAACAGTTTAGGTAGATAAATAATTCCCGTTTGCCATTTTGAATTGGTCAGTCCAACAGCCTCATCCCCTCGGAATTGCCTTTGGCAGTTCACATGCTCCGCGAGTATCCAGTGATTCGAAGTCGAGCGAAGTACGGCTCCAGAAACCGAACCTTCGAGCAAATTGTTCCTCGCCATTCTACGAAGTCAAAAGGGGATCGACCGCTCAAAAATATAAAAAGAGACGCCAAGCTGCTGCTGCCCCCCCCCCCCCCCTTTCCCTCTTTCCCTCCGATCCAATACTCACAATGTTCTCCGAGCTGCCAGGCTGCCATGGGGTAATAAAAAATGACCGTTTTTTCTTTCCTCGACCTGTTTCGACACAGGTTTGATATTTTCAAGACAAACGTAAAAGCTGTGCTCACCGTAACAGCTGCTTGCTTCAGCAATCAGCAGTTTGCCATATGTTTCTGGAAAAGAGATGCCCGCCATCCCGACTATGATTCACGCACAGCTCCCCCCGCACATACGACGAAGGCATAAACGCGCCGACCAGTTTTGTTTTTCCAATGCGAACGCCACAAAAGCGTCAGCATAGTCCACACGGTCCGGACATGTCCGGACCACGGCCGGCTTGCCCGGGTCCGAATCCCCGAATTACAAAGGAAACGAAAGCCGCCAACAACAACAACAAAAGGACCGACTACAACAATCGTCGGGCATACCAGAATCAACGGCACGGCGACAGTGAACTTGGACGGGCAGCATCGGGGCGCTGTTTTCCACGCACGCACCGTGGATTACGTAGGATGTTTCGACTTTGTCCAATTCGAGATCGGTCCTGAGACAGAACCGGGGCCGCCTCAACGTCAGCGCTCGGCACCGCTTGCACAGCCCACGCTACCGCGAGCATCCTCGAAAACCCATTGTGGCAGGTTGTGTTCAAGGGATTCGCGTAGCGCCGACGAGATCGGTCCTACTCACGGCTAACGGGAAGACGGGGCAGACGCGGCACGAGCGCAACGGACGCGGCTTGGCGGCGGCGCGAACAGCGCGCTTGCATCGGAGGGGGTGGCGGGCGGGGGGGTCAGCAGCGGCGCGCCGACAGACAAAGGAGCCATGGAGGGGGGCAGCCGTTCCCCCCGCTTTGCGCATGCGACAGCCGCGGCGCGCTGGCCAGTCGCGTTCGCTGCGCGGCCACTTACCTGGGAAGGCGGCTGGAAAGACGAATGTCGGTGTGCACACTACTTGCTCGGGCGTCGAGGCCATTTTTTCAGCTGCATACTGGAGTCGCTGCACCCTGTGACATCGCGGCCCGACAGAAAATAGGCGCTTCTCTCTTCGGACCCCAGAGCGGCCGGAGGAAGCGGAGGCGCCGTTTGAAGCGCCGCCTACGGTGCGATACAAAATGGCCGCGTGCCGGAGGTCCCTGTGATCTGCTGGGTTCTCAACATGACGTTGGGGCCCGTTTGGCCCGTTCTGTCATTGAAAAGGGCTCCTCTCCTCTGTGTAGAGTCTGTTACGTGCTCGCAAGGTACCGCGCGCCCGTCCGATGAAGAAGGACGACCAAGTAAATGAACAGCTGACTCGCGCGCTCTTTATTAATCCCTCCCAAGCAGCTAACTGTTCAAACACCCGCAAACGCTTACGCGTTTCTCGACGCCGGTATTGGTCGTGAATTTTACTCACGAAAGAATAATCCAAGAGGACGGAGCACAGCACAGTTGAAAGATGTGTTCTGTGAGATGATCCGTCCTATTCGTTCATTATTTCATGTGTAAAATTTAACCTTACTAACACGCTCGGTTTTTAATTAATTAGTTGTGATTTGACCCATATTCATGGCTGGTTGTCACCCTTCCAACTTCTTTAACGTCAACAGTTTTTTTTTTTTTTTTCCCCTCTACCCCCAATAAAACGCGATCGAGACAACTTTCGCCTCGTTTTTTTATTCCCTTCAGCGTAGTCCTCTAGAAACGAGCTGGTTGGGCAAAAAACGTGGAACCAAGAGAATTTAGATACCTGTATCATTATGGACCTCTTCTACTGCATGGGCGAGATCACAATAGGCTAGAACAGGACTTGGAATGGATAGCATGCGGGTAATTAATGTTCTTCGCATTTATATTACATTTATACTAGAATAGTTCTGTTCTGTGAGGCTAGAACAGGAATATTGAGGACTAGGACATATAGGACAAAGTATGAAGAAATGGATATGTGGTGAGGGCTTGCTCCTGCCCTTCCTGAGGGGGGGACGGATTTAACCGGTGCACTGGGGTTTGCAGACGAGAATGGATAAGTGCATTTTAATAACGAAGAGGAGATTAGAAGACCGGTGGAAATTATCTACGGAAAACTGAATGACGTACAACTGACACAGTTGGGGACAGGCGAGACGAAAGAAAATTAGGACTCCCTCCCGCGTAGCTCCGGCCCAAAGTCTCAACCCCGTATCCTAGCGGGCCCGGTTTGACCAGAGCAAAATTGGCGACTTCTCTGCCGGAAGGAAGAGGCAGGGGGGAGGAAAGGGTTGAGGTGATGCTTTTGGGTTTTTTTGCATGATCCCCCAAAGGTCACCCTGATGATATCCCACAGTGCCTGGTCATCGTTAGAAAATTGCAGAGGGGCGAAGGGAGCAATCATACTTTTGGTTTTTAATTTCTAGGCTAGGTGGTGCAAGCTGCCATTCATTATAAAGGGTACAGCCCAAAGTAACGTAGGTACAGCCGTTAGCATCCATCCATCTATCCATCCATCTTGTTCCAGCCAGAAGACGCCAATAAAACCTTTTTCTGCAAGTGGCTGCAAGCTAATAAACGATATTGTGTCTAGTGATACGTTTCATTTTACAAAAGGAACTTCACCCTTCTGGTTCTGTTGAAAAGCAGCTGTTGTTCATAGCAACACTTTTTCACTTGCTTCACAAGGTATTGTTCCTGAGCACATGTCTAGGAGGCGTCGCAGTCGGGCGATAGTCGGAGCCTCCACCGGGAATGGAGCGCAACGATGAGCAGTCGTCGCCAGGTCATCTGCTTCTCCTGCTCCCTTGTCGTTGCTAACTCCCAAACGCGGCACTGGCTCGTTTGACTGCGTACGTCACCGCATATATTGAAAACGTAGTGACTGTGGTTTGTCTGAGGTAGAACTGAGCTGTTCCTTTGGTATTGTGGACATAATGCTTCGGGCATATCCTTGATAATCAAATAAATGTATTCTGAAGCAGAAGCACTCGCGTAACAAGGTATCGGGTTGAGTTCCGTTTCAGGGTGCTAATCATTATGATCAAGATTCACTAAATCATTTCTGCCCTTACTTTTTTTTAAAATTATTTCTATATGTATACAGAATGTTTTATTTCATGGCAACTCGCGAAATGTCTTCGCAAGATTAACTTTATTCACATTATTATTTTATTGTTGATGAACATTTCGAAGAAGCCTGTTTTATTTTGTTAGTCTTTATGTTCATAATAAAAACTACATTACCATCATTGATTAAGTAGTTGAGCATAATGCAATGGCTTCATATTTCACAAATTTGCCAACATGTAGTGTTTCAAATTGTTTCAAAACAGGTCAATATTTTCTAACTGGATAATATATTTGCCTGACCAACATTTTTTGGATTGTTTTTGATTTGGAGGGCTTAAAGACTCCGGCGTTTTCTTTATAGTCCCCGATTTGCCTGAAAATTTGCTAAACACACCAAGAAACATTGCCGAAATAGTATCCCAAATTCGCAAAGTTAATGAGTTTACAATTTTGGGCCTCACCGTGTTTTTCAAAGTGAAAGTCTAAACTGGCAAGAACGAAAAAGTGTTGTCAGTGGAAGCCAGGGGTTCACTCTTTGAACTGTAGACTTTGTTGCCAACTGATTCCAAGCAGTTTCATGGTGTCAAATGAATGCTTTGGAAGCTCGCTCCATCACCGACGACGCAGCAGCAGCACTAAACAAATTTGCGACTTAGTACATTTTTTTTACTGTCCGCTCGACCTGCAAGCCTGCCTTTCCCTGGCGTTGCGGCACTGAAAAGCGCGAATATATTTAAATGTTGGTTATTGCATCATTTTCACATGCCGATTTTATAAAACTATTTGGAATTTCACTATACTAAATAGCACACCGGAAAGGGTAAAGGCCCCTGATTCCAAAAATATATGCTTGGGGTAGCTGCTTGGAAGAAAAGCATACATTCAAAGCGGGGTGGTCCAGGCGTGCGATTCTGTATTTGAAAATAAATGGAAACTTTGTGAATGTGTATATCTACATTGTAGTAAAAGTTTCAAAATTAAACTGACTCTTATGCAAAAGCACATGTTAAGTAGAAATGCCCTTACAACCTGCGTTCACCGTGCGCAATTTTTTCTTTTTTAACTCGAGATTAAAGAACGAATATTTTATATAGCAAGATTTGTAAATTCACTCAATTGGGTATAGTTGGCCATCTTGATAGGATTCATATTATGTAAAATCCGTCGTCTACTTGCCATCCCAAGACATCAGACCTTCTGAGGTCACAGTTCATAAATATAGTCTGATTAAGCTTAGCTTATAAATGAACAAGTGGAACAACCTTGACGGGTTTAGCTGGGGTTTCGTCTAAGCATGATGCAATGGTAGTGAAAGGCGTGGAAAAACTATTCGATATTCGAATCGAAAATATTCGGCCAATACCACTATTCGCTTCAAACTCAAGATCCACTATTCGCACAAGACTAGACTGTTGTCTTATTATAAAAACAAGCTCGGATTTCTCGTAGGTGTGCACAGCGGAAGTAGAGTGGAAGTTACGAGATTTGGCCAGTTGCCAAAATCGTTCGGAAACAACGACAAAACAATGAACTCAAGTGGCAGGAGAGGAGGAAGAAGTGATGCCTGGAAAAGACTTGACCACACTCCAAAAGCTTTTGCAGACAGGAAAAAAAAAAGGCTGTAGAAAGGGAGAAAAAGTGGTATGTATCTTGCTACTTTTTGCCAAATTACCCAAGCACCAAGAAAAATGCCGAGGACTTAGGCACATGCATCATACTCAAATGACAAGGCGTTGCCAAACGCATGTGCAAAGTGCCACTTTCAAAACAGTTACTGCTGCAGGCAACAAGTGCAGAACGTGTGACTAAACTGGAACTCTGGAAGGATGCTTCTTAGTGCTTGAATTACTTAGCAAAAATAACAAAATACAGCTGCAAATGTTTTTCCTTTTAAGTGCTGACAATTCAATATCAGTTCATCATAAAATTTTGGTCGAAACAGATTTTATATTGGATAAATTTTCATGAAACATTGTGGTAGGTGCAGAAAAGTGTAGGGCAGTGTACTTCCGCTATGTGTATTGGGATACAACTGGAAGTACACCGCCCTACAGGTGCAGGTAAATCGAAAAGTTGCACAGCCAAGCATCCATTCTGTAGAGAAACCAAGAGTTAATGAAGCTTTGGCTGAGTTCTTTCTCTTTATTTAAAATCTAGTGGAACACAACAAAGGAATTCAAAAGAAACCCCGCAGTGTTCAGCGGCCACCACCGCACAGCGGATCATAGAAAGCACCTCCAACGATTTGCGAGCACAGCCTACGTGATGTCCAGGGGCTCCTGCTTGATCTGAATGTTGAGCGGCATGCCCGTTTCTTGGGGCGCCACGACAGCTGGCACTCTCGGGTGGAGGCAGAGCTGTCGGAAAGCAGTGTAGCTCAGGTATGGGTCGCCATCAATGCGCTCTGTCTGGAGACTTGCGCTGCGAGACACTTCAAACCGGACCCACCTGTCGGGGAGCAAGCATGCACTGACGTTACCCTCTGACCATTTCTCTTGATGATAATAGCGGTACTAGTCTCGGATATCCCCAGCAACCTCAATGCTGTCACTGCAAACCTGTGTATATCCACTTTAGCGACAATGTGAAAGAGAAATAATGACTGCACATTGAAGCACTCTTTTCCACCACTGTAACTGCACTTTGAAAATGGAGACCCAATAAGATGGATGTTCATGCATAGCAATTGAACTGTAGCAACTAAAAATGTAAGCAATTTAAAACTGGCACATTTTAAAGGGCAAGTTATGCATAGTCACGGCCCACCGCACTTTGAAATGACGCGTCTCGTGATTCTGATCACTCGTACCTTCCTCGGCAGGGCTGTAAGGTACCTGTACAAGTAAACTGAAAACTGGTAACTACAGCCGGTGACAGGTGAAGGAGCTAGTAGATGCTCTGCCTCAAGTTCAAGCTTTCTGCCTTCGATAACACTTGGTCGCACATGCAACTAAAATCCAGAGTTCTTAACCTGTCACTGACTGTAGGTACTTCCGAAAAAAACCTACCATAATTTTTTGCAAAATGGAACTGCCTCTTAGGCACAATGTTGGGTAAGTTATACTCCTGACGGTACTTTTCCAAGAATCTTCTGCAAAATAAGGAAGGGCTGCCACATGCACAAGAGGCCTCTAAATGGTAGAATCGTATCAGGAAGTGGCACGCACAGACCGGAGCGTTTTGGAAATTGGAACCCTCAAGAAACTGTGTTTTGAGAACAAGACACCACGTTCTCAGAGCACGGTCTTACCATGCCCCTAGCACTTGGTATTAAAAAGGGACAACTACAACTGGATACGGAACAAGTTGAGGGAACTTCGGGTGCGTTATGGTCGTGTCCAGAGTGTCCAGCGGCAACAAGCTGGTGTTCCCAGCTGTGCCTTGGCACTGCATGCAGATATTAAATGCATAGCATTTCAAGGGCCAGCTCTTAGGGTTTTTGTGTCCGTGCTTGCATGTAGCCTCGAAAAAATGAGCTGTCAGGTGACACCACAATGTCATCTGGAATCATGACATCACAGAAGACCTACTGTTTAAAGGCAATGCATTTAGAGCACCTTCGAGATAGACTAAAGAGAGAGGCAGTTTGTTTTTCTCTCTCTCTCTCTTTCTTGTTTCATCCTCTATTCCCACTTTCTCCTTTCCCTGAGAAGCTTCTTTCTGGCCCATCTAGGCAATACAATTTGGTTACATATCTAGAAAATAAACACTTCCATACTACTACTGCCCACATTCCCTTCAATGTATTTTTTCCGAGTCTCACCGTTCCTTGAATTAAAAACTGCACAATAAGTTACATCACCAAAGACATTGTTGAAGCACCGGTCAAATACAATGCTTAGCTGTTCTAAAAAGAAAAAAAAAAAGGTGAGGTTTGGAATCAACGGATTGAGCATCAACACGAGAATGCCCAAAGCCCAGTATTGAGGAAGCGACGATTCAGGAAACACCATCATTTTCAGCCCCGTGAACAATCGGTCTCTACCGTGCACCTTCCAGCCCCCGTAGCTTCCCACCCGAATGACCTAGGGATCTATGCCGGCAAGTCGGTAAGTGTGATTATTTCAGGATAATTGCTGTTTCGTTTCCTAAACATGATACATTCAGAATTGTGTGTCGCATTAAATTGGTAAGATTACTCACAGTCAATATTTAAAAGCAATATTTTGCATGGTTTATGACTTCCCCTTTGAGTGCTGCTAGTTATCCTTCGGGGATGGGGCATCTCTCGATATATTACTGTACTTCCTATACTCTTATTTCGGGAGACAGACAAAGTCTTATGACCATACATAAAGTAAGCATAAAGTAAGCTGTGGTGGCGCTGTCGACGGCACTGCGCATGCGCAAATGATTCACTTCACGCGAATTCGGTATCTGCGCACGCGCGGTGCCCACACCAGGAAGGCTCGTTTGTAAACAGCGTGTCGGTCTATATTGCTAGTGCTGATTTTTCCAGCATTCTTCCCTCCCAAATTTTCCTTTGTGCCCCTTTCACTTCCTTTCTTACTGAAGTAGCATGCTCAGCCCCATCACTAGTGTGAAGGTATTTAAATGTAAGCTTTCGGGTTCAGTCTGTCCATTTTGTGTTTAAACTTTTCATGTATAAATACTTGAATACCTTCCGTGCCCCCAGCATATCATCCATTTCAGACACCCTTTGCTCAAATTTCAACTTACTAATTGCCTCCCTGCTCTTTAAAGACGACCAGCCCATGTCCCCATTCACTCCCTCATTTGGTGTCTTTCCGTGTGCTCCCTGCACCAATCTGCCTACGCTTCTTTGCCGAATCTCTAATCCTGATTGAACCTCTGATTTCATGCACAGTACTGCATTGCCAAAAGACAGTCCTGGTACCATCACTCCTCTCCATATACAGTCGACTCTCATTAATTCAATCAAACTCGAGGGGGGCCGAAAATTTGTTTGAATAAAGCAAAGTTTGAATTATCAGGAGTTTCTTCCCATAGAGATGCATAGGATGGGACCTGCACGTTAGTTTGAATTATCCGAAAGTTTGAATTAAGAGATTTTGAATTAACGAGAGTCGACTGTACCTCGGACCACTTCATATCTATTATAGTTCCATAGTGCCTTGAGCTTCATAATAGATGAATTTCTTTTCCCTTTTCTAATTAAATTCTCCTCATCTTCCTTTAGAATTTCCTTCTTTTAGCGAGACTCCCAGATATTTGCATTTTCCTACATGGTCTTGTATCCTCAGGGGTTCCCTCTTTTTGTCCTTAAACAGAATTACTCCAGACCTGTCACTACTAAACCTCATGCCCAAGGTGTCCTCTTCCTCCCTACATATTCCAGCTAGTTCCTGTTATGTATCCTGGTTATCTGGCATGACTCCTACGTCGTCCGCATACATCAGTCCTGGTATTACCTGCATTACCTGTGCACGTCACCAGCGAGAAAGCAAACGAGCGACCCAGTTCACGTGGGTGGCGTGGTGTTGCCATAATAAATGGCAAGGACCTGGAGACAATCAATCGATAATTAAACAAATAAATAAATTTCTCGCCTGCCTTAGAATACCGTGCATCCGCCCATTCCACATTAAGCGCCCATATCCAAATTTCCAAGATCTGAGAAAATACGCACAGTACATCTATATGTAAAATTGATGACCGGACAAGCACCCATCCCCCATTTTTTCGCGAATATCTCTCAATTTTGAGTGGGCACTTGCTGGGTATTTTACGGTATGTGCAGCACGACTTGGCGTCAGGGAGTCAGGCTGGAGGCATACGTCCTCCAGCTGACTACACCTAGAGGCGAAAGAGCTATTCTTTGTTTGTTTGCTTCGTTGCTGCCACAAGGAAGAAGACCGACGACATAAACGCTAAGATAATAAAACAAAAATTGACGGGCTGTTCGCGCATGTTTGTTCCGCCATGACTAACACTGAAAGTGGTTCCGAGGAGGCACAAATGATGCGTTACGGGGGCACGTGCGACTTGGCACCAATTGCCCGTTATACTCCTGTTTCACCTTATGATGAACTGCGAGGGTGCTCTAAGCCGTTGAAACCAATCCAATGCCACCAAAGTGTCACGTGACCCTTCTTCGAGAGGGTCCAGCGACGCACGGGGCAAGTGAACCTCCGAGTCCTTGGTGGCGCATAGTCACGACGTTCACAGCGCTGTATTGGCTGGGAGGGCTTGCAACGTATGCTATGGTCCATCACCAGGTGAAACGAAATGTAACTGGATGCCACCGCGCCGCTTGGGGACAAGTTTCTTTTTTCTTGTTGGTTCTTTTTTCCTTTCCCTTTTTGTTTAAATTATCTTTCAACTGCTTTTTGCAGTCTTCCTGGTCTTCAACCCAGCAACTCAGTCATTCGAAACGGGTAGATTGAGAGAATGGTGCATAATGGCTGACTGACCTCGCATGCGAGTATTGTACTCCAATTCTATTTCCAAGCGCCTCTATGACCGCATAATTTGCGTAGTGTTTGCGATAAAACATCAATTGTTTTTGAGCTACCCAATTTAAAGGCATCATCTGAATGTGCATGGCTTTTTGATTCCAAAATGCTATCTCATTCTCCCAGATTCACTCCAGTTCAGTGGTTCTCAAATGGGGGTCTGTGGAGCCCTGCTTCATCAGTCAAGCCTGGCAATAAAAGTTGTATTTTTTTTAGATTGAGAAGAAACTTTTCATTTTCAGACAAGTTTTTTCGTGTGTACATCAATGAGCGAAGTCTACTTCACAATAGCCCTTAGTTATATCCATTTATTAAATCATTATTATATTTGACCTATACTTTTCCCTTCCCCCTCACCATGAACGGGGTCCTTCATCATCTCTGCCGATCCACAAGGGGTCCGCGAAACATCAGCGGTTGAAAACCATTGCTCCAGTTAATTAAAAAAGAGATTTTGTTCGCCACCAGAACCAAAACTTCATTCTCCTTAGTTTTTCCCCAGTTTTCCCCGCCATTCAAACGTGACGTCACCGGCAGGAAGAAAGACGCGCGGCCGGAAATCAGATACGCTCGCGCCCGCCTTTCTCGCGTCTAACAGCAAGCAAACAGGGGCGTTCCTGCTATCTGAAGTTGAAAATAATCTCCATTTGCACAAAATATGACCTAAACTCTAAGGGGAAAAAAAATAAAAAAATGAAAGCAACTGCGATTTTTAAAAACGCTTCAGCAACTTGGTACGCTCAAGCCGCGGCTCATTAGTTTCGTGAAATCACTGGTGTAAATCTGTTTTCCTGCTACCACAAGCATGCAATTACACTTGCAAAGAAAGATCAAAGAGTCACGCGACACATTTTTTGACAAATTGCCCGAGCACCACATAGAATGCTCGGAATGTGGGTAGAGGTGCCGCACACGCTCATCTTGCTTGAAGGAACGTGCCATTTGTTTTAGATTTTCTTTAGAAAAGGTACTGTTGCAGACGTCAGCACGTAACTCATCTTGTAGCGTGCA